TCATCTTCCGTCATCCACCCACCACGTCCGGCCGTATCCTTTGCTCCGTGCATACATACCGTTTTAATTCCTCGAGCTTATACATATCAGTGCCTTCGATGTAGCACCGCATGGACCACCCTTGTGTTTACTCTACTTTAGCATTAAGCTCAGCCGCGATCGTGTGCATTCTCAGCCTGCTATCCGTCTTCCGTGGTCTGCTGGTTCGGAGAGCGGAATTGCAGCGATGTGATTAGATAGTGAATCCCAAGGGGTATGAGCGATCGTGGCAATTGATACGGGATATGGATAACGGACTGGAAAATCGGAATGGGTTTAGGTGGATGGAACAGAATGGATGGATAGATAGGTAGGTACATGCAGATGCAAGACCGAATGCATACTGAACAATATCCTGATGCTATTAGATTTCTGGTGTAGGCAGAAACTTCTTCAGCCCGACCTGCGTCGACCGGCCATCGCACCACCTAAAAACCGAGTCAGTGCTGGCCTCCGTTACGCTTAGCATTTTCACTCCCGTACCGCGCGGACCCTCACATATGGTCGCACAAAAATAAGCTGCGAAGCAAGCCAATTTGAACTGAATTCCGGCCTCTCGCAAACTGAACATCCCAGCACAATCGACGCTGTACCCGCGGAATCATTCCCATCACTTCCGTCAAGATAGGGGGTTCAACATTCGACACTTGATGCAACCTCCTAAACCATTTGTTCGTGTTCTTTGTTTCGTTTCCTGTTTAAATCTCTCCTTTCCTTGTATCATTTTCCTCGCGTGTATACAAACAAAGAGAATCTGGATCGAGGTGTCAATCAACGATTCAAGATCGTGTACGCGTGCCGTAACACGCCGATCGTGATTGGCATGTCGTCCCGAAAAGGCAGGTGGTTGAAAATGGATTTCTGCTGTCTCAGGCAGTGTTCAAGGGTATTTCCGCGCGTTTGGGACCAGGGGATCGAATACACGGATGTGCTGAATGTTACTGTTGGTCTCGGAAGGAAAGATCCCGTGGAGAGGGAATGAAAGGGGAGAGTAAAGAAAAAACCTTGATTTCCTCTGTTAGCCTAAGGACAGGCTTGGTTTATCCGGATGATCATCCGGATGAAATCCACGGATAAATACACAGCTACATTATCCGCGGATAACATCCGCACGGATACGGATCCATCCACGGATTTTCCCAGGTTGCCCCTGTCCTTGGCTGCAGCCGCCAATGCAATCAGTACAGTTGATTCTGGCACAACACCCGCTGTGCCAGCCCACCACCTCAAGACAGAATAGGTACAAGTCCGTGTCATTGGAACAGATCTCAAGTATGAATAGATAATCAGTGGTAGCGACTATGCGGTACATTACAAGTCAATCTTCCCCTCCCCGCCGCATCCTTTGTTTGATGATTTCTGCGAGTTCAGTGAGGTCGGGAAAAAAGGCTGACCATCCCAGGACCCGAGCACCATCTCTGCGCAAAATGTCTGTGACCCCATATTGTGTTGAAGGAAGGTGACCTCACAACGACCTTCAGAAAATGTGTGTTTGGCATCGACGGACACACATCTGGAAAATTACAGTTGTCTGTAGCTGACTGTGGCAGACACTACAGACCAAATAGACCCACAGACTGCCTGCCGCCTTTGACAGACAGGCTCTTCTGCAGCAGACCTCCACAGACCAATAGTGCAGCAGACATACAGATGTACAGACACCCACAGACACATGCTGCCGATCGCTTAACAGAATTTCGATGGATTTGATTCACAGCCGGTTTACGCGATATGCAATATGGGCAACAGAAGAGCAACAGAAGGGCACAGATGTTGGGTGAAGCAACAGTGAGGGAGATATTTTTGGCAGACATATTTTTGGCAGTATACATGCATGTACATAGACAGTTGTAAGTAATCATAACAGTACTGACGGTGCTGGATTCTTATATGGAAGTTTCGATCCGACTGAGCCTCCAGAGTGAAAGTCAACATACATGTGCATGGATCATGGACAAAGAAGAAGGGCAAGAAGCTAGCACCTGAGTGCCTGCCTGATTCAAGGGTAACTTGTACAGGAACTTGAAGTGGGGTGGTTGGGCAAAAAAAACGGTGGGCCTTTATACTCCGTGGTAGGTCCAGGCAAGCCCACGCTGGTATGACAACTGGCAAACAACCAGAGCGTTTTGACTTGGTAATTTTCAGCACAAGTTAAGTGGACCACGCGAGTATAATACATCCCCCCTAACATCACCGATGGCAACCAACCAACTTGATCTCAGATCATGATACAACATGGGCATCAAAAACACATGCGGGACTAAATCTCCGTGAGTGTCTGTGAGTGTCTGTGTGTGTCTGTGTGTCTGCCATGGTCTGGGTCAGAACCTGGGATCTGGTGCAGATGGGCCATGTCTGTGCCACTAGAATGTGTTTCCTGATGCAGGTTCAAACCATATTGTCAGTTACGCATAAGCAGAACTGGATAAAACTGACGTACCGGGTGCAGAGCAATAGTCTGAGCCCATTTCAGCTAGCGCAGGTGTAACTGTAGACAGCAAGTGCCAATAACGGATAACACCATGCCCTGTTGCTTGGCCATCTGCCTGCCCCAACTGACCCGCAGCTTCCATCACGATAGGAGGGACAACTGGCTCACTCAGATAAGTGTAGATATTGTCAGCAACACGAACGGCAGCAGTGGGCGCAGCAGGTGTCAACCAATTTTCAGTAAGCGGATATCGGCAATAAAAAAAATAACAATAGGGTTATTCACAGTTCCCTTTTCTCTACCCTTTTTCCTTCCCTTTTTTGCTCCTTCCCCTTTCCCCGTTGAACCAGAACAAGGATGTTCAATATATTTACATTGATTCAAGCACAATTTGACAGCCACACTATCCTGGGTACCTCCCACCCTTGTAGGTAAGTTAGTGGGCAATGAGACACCACAGATACCAGCAACAATGAAAAAAGGACAACAAACAGGAAGCAAAAAAGGGAAACCTGGAGGGGGGGTTTCACAGTTCTCCCTTTTTCTTTCCCTTTTTCATTTCACCAATCTCCCATTTCAATGAGTTTTGCACCTAGGGTCGTCGTTTCTTCCCTTTTCTACCATTTTTTGCATCCCTAAGTTGGAAGGGGGGAAAAATCCGGAAAAAAACCAAAGGAAAACAAAAAGCAGGAAAAAAGGGAAGAAAAAAGGAGAACTGTGAACAACCCTAATGTATTACAGGCGCCGGTGTTGAAACACTTGATGGAGTGCTCGTCGCCATGTTGACTAACACCTTTGCCTTGTAGCTTAGATCCCACTGACGGATTGCAAGCTGTCAAACCTCTTCTACAGCTTCATCCGTCCATCCGCGATCTTTGTACCACTGCAGTTCCTTGTCGGGACACATGACTGAAAAAATTGATCAGAAACAGTAGTGATGGTCTGATGTATTTGCTCCTACCTATTGCAAGCCGGTACACCTCACATTGGTCAGTAAGTGAGTGATCCTTCTGCAGTACAAGAAGCAATACATGTGCTGCGATGCGGATCACCGGGGAAGCGATAGCAGGATCAACCACTCGCTGCAAAGCAACTTCAATTGTCTTCAAACATAGGAATAATAGTGTGAACAAGCACCGTCTCTTTCTTGGAAAATGGTTTTGTGGGTGCATCAAATAACTATCATCAGCATCAGCGAACCGGCACGGGTGGTAACTCAGATTGACATACCATGAGAACATGGATGATTTCTTTCAAGAGCAGCCACTGGGCGTCGGTAAGCTTGAATGAACCTAGCTTGTTTGCACCTTGGCCGGTAAGCACTTCAATGGGATTACAGAAATATTGGTGTGATTCTGCGCAGGCCAAGTCAGAATTCCACCGTGTGGGTACATGTCGCACCAAGGTGTCTCGTTCTCCAGTTAATGAGTTATCAGTAGTGACAAGATTTGGGAATTCAGTCCCTAAAGTGGAGCCAGAGTCGTGGACTCGGTGGGCCAGTCCAGCAACCTGCAAAAACATCAAGTCCGTGTGTCATGTAAAATGTAGAAAAATGTACCTTCAGGAAAATTCTGAGGGCTTTTCTGTTCTCGACTTCTGAAAGCCTGACAGCGGGCGTCCATTTCTTCATGTCAGCAATTGCATGATCCCAAACAGAACGGATGACCACTTCATCGTGAGCTTGCTCACCAGTGTCCGTCGGTGCCTTGTTCTTGATATCGATCAGAGTTTGAGCAAGTTGCGCTTCCCGGGTCGTAATAGCTGGACCATTGTACAACACCAGGCATCATTAACATAATTGAAGGGACGGTGGCTGGCTGCACAATGCATCACAATACAGGCACAATACATGGCCTCGGAAAACGGCGGAAGTGCCAAAGTACTGGCAGATACAGCTACAACGCCGCGCTCCGTGTCGCACTGATCTGCTGGGTTTTTGAGGTTACTGGTCCCGGAACTAGATTTTCCTTGCACAAGGACAAGTGTGGGATGGTCAGGTGAGGAATATTTACATTTGAATTGATAGGACATTTGTTTAGTGCCGTTGGGCTTCGTATTTCGAATTAAAGTGATGCTGTAATGAGAATAGCAGGTGGAAGTCCATCTCGCCTGGGTGGCGGCTTGTTGTGACGTGTCAGACAATGTCCAAGACCAAAACAACAACAACACACCTATGATATCTGCATCTGTCTCTGCCCAGGCTTCCTCGTCAGATTTATCATAAATGGATCCAGCATTGTTCAGGTGCAGGTACAACCAAGGCTGCATGTGTGTTTTCATTGCAGCCTGCACGTGCTTGAATGGGAGAGCTATTGGGTGGTGTAATGAGAAGATTCCGCAAGATTGAGAGAACAGGACGATATCTGTGTCGGATCCATGTCTGCGACAAAGGGGTATTCGTGGATATTCATCCGGATAACAGCCGTCCATGCCGGTCCTTATGTTAGCCTCTGTTATTGAGCCCCTTTCGGACTTGGTGCATTTTTTGTAGAAAAGGTAGCCTTTATGTGGCTTAAAAAGGCGAAAATAATGACCACCGCAGGTCTCGAACCTGCAATCTCCTGATACGTGATTATGTAAGCATCGTAGTCAGACGCGATGCCATTTCGCCAGGCGGCCATTAAAGGACATGCTGCGCAGCATATATCATGTGGTTCAAGACCTTATGTGATCGCATTTGCATTTAGTATTTGGTGTGATTGGATGGAACATTCACGCTGGCTTTCAGGTCATTACTGGGAATCTTGACCGGAGATCTGGGCTCACCTCATCTGTGGGATCTTTTTATGTCAGATTTTGTACTGGTGCACCACCCCAAGGATATTGAACTCAACGGAGTGCCTATTTTCCACATTGAACATGCAGATGACATCCTGACGGCGTCCAGTTAAGGCTCGTCACGAGTCGTGGGTGACCCGGATCCATGACTGTGGGCACCTGTGTCTTCCGGAGCCCTACTCGGATCCGTGACTGACCCGCTTCCACAGGTACTTGACTCGCAGGTCACGGGTTTCCCATGGATCAACTCACAGGTATGTTTTTCTTTTACCATTTTTTACCGATGATAAGGCAGGAATGAGACTAGACGTGTAATGCTCCAAAAGAATGGCTCTTGCAGGAATCGAACCTGCGACCTCTTTACTTCATGAGAAGTGCTCTAACCACTGAGCTAAAGTGCCGACGAAGGAGGCTGTAACAGTTGACTTGTGACCTGTGACCTCTCGCTTGTTCAGCAACTGGATCACTAGATCATCAACTTTCACACCCCTGGCTGTGCCCAGCCCATCATCTCCCCCTTTCTGAGAGATGTGACGTCCCCGTCACACTGTTCCGTTCCTGATTATCTGAATGCGTGCACTCGCTTACTCAGCAGCTCACACGACTCCATCAGACCCGAACCGCCAAACAATGTTCCGATCATTCCTCTTCACATTTTTAGTCATTGCTCATTTTGTTCCTGTTTGCCCTTACGAGTCATCATTTGTATTGCTTTGGGACAACGTTGACATTGTTGTCCCTCGCGGTGGGCTCCAGATGATAACACGGCGGACAATCAACTGTCATTCGCGCTTTGAGGGTTTACAGTCACTTGCACTGTCACCTACGTGGCCCTTTGTGAAGAACAAAGGGAACAGCAATTTTATGCAAGTGACACTCCGAGTGACTGTAACCCTTCAAAGCGCAAATGACAGCTGACTGTCCGCCATGTAAGGCAGGAATGAGACTAGACGTGTAATGCTCCAAAAGAATGGCTCTTGCAGGAATTGAACCTGCGACCTCTTTACTTCATGAGAAGTGCTCTAACCACTGAGCTAAAGTGCCGACGAAGGAGGCTGTAACAGTTGACTTGTGACCTGTGACCTCTCGCTTGTTCAGCAACTGGATCACTAGATCATCAACTTTCACACCCCTGGCTGTGCCCAGCCCATCACCGAGAAGTACATGTTTTAAAGCACTTCAAAACTTCTGAATGACTTGTTGGTTTTGAAAACTGCTACCTGGATCTGTGACTGACCCGTGCACATGGGTACCTGACCCGTGGGTAGCAAAACTTGTGGGTATTCCCACGGATCTACTCGCAGTTACCCATAGGTAATCCCGACTCGTGATGAGCCTTACGTCCAGTGCTCCTCCTGGGTTTCAACATCATCTCAATTCAGCGCAAACTTGGTGCCACCGCAACGGCTGTGAAACGTTGATAGCCAAATGTGTGTACCAGATCTATGGACCATGTCAAAAATTCTATTCAAGCTTCCACTTAGGTGGCAAGCCAATAGTGTTGTTCAAAGTTAGCCCTACTCGGGCTCCTACTTGTTCCCCTACTCAGCTCCTACTCGTCATTTTAGCGCCAAAACTGCAAGGAGGGAACAAGTAGGGAGATGAGCAGGAGACTGAGTAGGGGCATATTTGAAACCCCACCCCCTGCAATTTGAGAGTAGGAGCCACGAGAAGGAGTTTTCGTCGTTCCGACAAGCCTCGGCATGTGTCGGCAGTCCTCTGCCGCTTTAGATCCGCTCACATTTGACGGATCACATTCCTTAATCCTTTTGTCCACATCTCCCATCGATATGGCTACCAGCTCGCAGCGCACAGGCTCCAAGCGCAAATGTGTGCTCGATGGGCTCGAGGAACAGTATCAGGATGCCAGGCGGGCACAATTCAACCACCTAGTTTCCCGCCTGCAGGACGATATCGATTCGGATTTCGCAGATGATGACATGTCGATCTCGGGTGAAAGTGGTGTCTCTGGTGAAAGCGAGGTTTCGGGGGAAGGCTCTTCAGTGAACTCAGATGAGTCTGCATCATTCTCCGACATCGAAGACAGCATCTTTGTCACACGGGAAAAGATGATCTTGGATCTTATGACCGAGATCAAGACTACACGGGTTTTCGATCCAATGCTGCGGATTGCAAAGGCTTCTCAGCTTCATCTCCTTGACGAGTGGCGCGCTCTTAACCACCCAAATTTCCGCAAAAAGCTGTGGGTCGAGCCTGCTGTTTTTGACGGACTGCATGAGCTGATCAAGGACCATGAAATTTTTCAGAACAATTCCCACAACAAACAGTTTCCGGTTCAAATTCAGCTCGCCGTGTATCTATATCGTGCGGGACACTACGGAAATGGAGCATCTCCGGAAGAAACTGCTGAATGGGCGGGTATTGCTGTCGGCACGGTTGTCAACTGCACGAACCGTGTGATGGTGGCGCTTTTATCCGTACACGATAAGGTGATCCGTTATCCAACGGCCGATGAAAAGGAGACTTCCAAGGACTGGGTAGAGGAACAAACTTGCCCCGAATGGCGGGATGGATGGATGCTCGGCGATGGTACCAAATTTCTGCTGTTTCAAAAGCCAGGCCTCCATGGTGAAGCATGGTTTGATAAGAATAAAGATTACTCTTTAGATGGACAGGTAGCGTTGCCTCACCTTCGTCAAAACCATCTAATTTTTACAGATCCTAGCGTTGCCTAATAATCTGATGATCATAGACTACGGGATTGGACACACCGGGAGCGTGCATGACTCTTTAGCTTTTCGAAGCACTCGTACTTTCAAAGAGCATGCAACTATCTTTGCCCCAGGTGAATGGTTGTGGGCCGATTCAGCATATCCGGTCGAGCCGTGGTGTGTCGCACCGTTCAAGAGGCCGGCTCGGGGAGAACTCACAGGGGATCAGCGAACCTTCAATTACCATGTTTCCAAAGTACTATTTTTTCTTGAGGCGTTATAAAAGCAATTCTAAATTACCGCAGGTCCGTATTCGAATCGAGCATACCATGGGGCTTCTTAAAGGTCGATTCCAATCGCTGCGAGAGCTTCGAATTCAGATAGCTTCAAGGAAGCAGCATCTTTGGGCTTTGATGTGGATTCGCACTTGCATCATACTTCACAACTTGATAGTGACCTTAGAGGAAGGTCTAGGCATCGACGAGGAGTGGCGAGAAGAGCTGTATAATCTGGGGCGTGAACAACAGCCACGGACGGGGTCAGTGGAAACCGAGAGCGATGGAGAAGAAATTGGTCCAGATGCAGACTTGCGACGTGCACGCAGGCGCCACACGACGGAGGGCCAGAGATTTGGCGCAAGGTCATGGATGCATTATTTGATAGCCCACATCTTAATCTAGTGGGTCGAGATTGATACCAAGAAAATAATCACTGGATTTTTAGAGATGGAATATTTGAATAGCTAAGTCATCGGGAACTGGGTATCGAAGCGAACGAGCGAAGAAAGGAGTTAGCAAATGAGCAGAAAGGAGTTAGCAAATGAGCATAGGGACAAAAGGAGCGGACATTGCGCGATTGCAACAGAGATAGCTGCTTGTTGAGATTCACATCGACGAAGACGGACCGGCACCACCCAGATACCCCATATCACCTCCCATTTCCGTACCGAACCCGCCCCCTGCATCCATACCGAACCCACCCGCTGGTTCCGTACCAAATCCACCGAAGATGTTGGCGTCCATACCACCCAAAAAGGATCCTCCCCCGTCGCTGCGTCGATTGGTGTTCCCGTTCTGCATGGTGAATTGCATGCGCATCATCATGAGCTGGTGCTGCTCGCACTCACGTTCGCGCTTGTGCTCTGCCTCTCTGCGCCGATCTTCCGCCGCCAAACGACGTTCTTCTGCTACGAGCTTCTCACGCTCAAGGTCGACGTCGAGACGCTTCCGTTTGACTGCGAGTTCAGCCATTCGGCGGTCGTGTTTGTCCTTCCCAAGCTGCGCTAGAACCTCGTTCTGCTTCTTATTCTCTTCTGCAGCGGCTTCAGCATGTGAGCGTTTGCCGAGTCGTGGTTTGACTGCAGAGGATGCGGAGGAGTGGGAAGAAATCGAACCACTACCCTGAACATTCGGCTTAGAGGAGTTGCGAAGAGCCGGTGTTTTTTCGGGGAGTTTGAACGGCGGTGGCGGGAGCTCATCCTCGTCGTCGTCAATGTTGATCGGTGCCGCTCTTTTGGGGGAGGGCGACCACTCGATACGTTGAGAGTTTGATCTGTCAGTGGGCTCTGGCGTGCGCTCCGGGGAACTCGGGTTGAACACATCCTGTGGATACTTTCAAGAATGGAACGCTAGATAGGATAGCATGACAGACCTGGTCTTCTGAGGACTGCGAGTCGTTCGGAACAGCGACCGGAAAGTGGTCAGCACCAGTGATCAATGTGATGGCTTGGTCGGCAATGTTCTGACCAGGCTCGGAGGAAACCGTGAACGGGTTGAAGTTGGGAAGTGTGCGCCAGAACCCGTGCAGTCTCTCCCACTGAGGGAACTCTGCTTTGATTGTCTCTGCGCGAGGATCAGTTCCAATGACAAGCGCAGCAGGATGGCCCACTCACGTATCTTGTTTTCAATCTCACTACCAGGCTCTACATCCTCGACTCTAAGGCCTGCTCCAGTCTGTCCAAGCTCCTTGTTGATTTCACCGTAACGCTTGCGGAGCCTAAGATGCATGTGCAGTCAGCTGAGAGCTTCGTATATGTGGGAAGATGTACCTCTTAATGTAATTTTCTACAGAGCGAGCGTATCGGATAGGCTTCTTCTGGTAGTCGGCGCGCAAGGACTCGTCAGCGTCGACAGAAAAGACCTTCTCAGCGATCATCTTGTAGTATGCAAT